ATACCATCGAGTATCAAAAAATGTCTTGCCGTTCGGTACCAAATTTCGATACCTAAGCGGTTAATCTTGTCAACGTCAGTGAGCCAGTAAGCGTAAGCAGAATCTCATGAAAATCACATACAAATCATATAGTAGAATGATGGTAACCAAACAAGTACTAGTAGCCATTGACTTCCATTGGAAACAAATACTATGAAAGTTAATGGTTACCAGCAACTGTTTGGTTACCAACATTCTTTAAAAAATTCTTCTTTGATTATCTTCTTTTGAGGGTGAGTACATGATGACAAACTTTTCATTTTTGGGTGAACTATCCCTAACTCTTATAATAGCATAAACCCTTATAAAAACTAAAAGCTCCACTCTTCAACACAATGGAAACCTGTAGTAATTAAAATGGTTTTATATCCCAATATAATTAAACATTAAATACTATCAAGTCTCCCCTATTCTCAACTTTCTAAAAACACATGAAATAATATTTAACATTTTTACTCTTCCCATTAAATCCCATGCAACGCATGCTGGGAACTAGTTTTTAGGGTTACATCACTTGCCCTCCAATGGATGCCATCTGAATTATTTTTTTTTTTTGTTCGTTTTCATTTGAACGATTCCTTTAAGTAGACTGAAGGAACCATTGGCACCAATGTTCTCTACAATCCACATAGGCTTATGATGCTTTGACCATTCAAGGCCTGTCTCAGAGCAAGCATCAATAGTATATGTGCATTCAGATTTACAATCACTACAAAACTGACACATACAGCAACAACTCTATATTATAGATGTCACTGCATTCATTTAATTCCGCTACTTGACACTTTAATTGTATTAAAGACTGTCACAACATGAGCAAACAACAGCTTTTCTGAAGCCGATCCTCTTCATTCGGAGTATTCTCCAAAGTGATATGACACCTTCCTCCTTCACAATGTTACCTAACACTTTTAAATCTCATGGAAGAATCCACAGCAGACTCAATAACAATAAAAACAAGCTTATGACACAAGTTGTTATACAGCTCATTACCGTATCGGCTGGAACACTGTCCAAGAAAAGTATTCTAAAGTTTTGCAAATCACAGGGGATATACTTGAGAACAGCAAAATAATAATGTACTTGTCACTTGTCACAAAAATAATAATGTACTTGAAACACACTAACTGTGTTTCCTCAGTAAGGAAAAGCAAAAATAATGTATCACAGATCAATCATAGATTTTATTATAGCACCAGAGGCTATACAGGGGAGGGAAATATGTGACAAATAAAACACAGTGTGTATTAGATGTACACAGACCCTGGGAAGAAGAAGAGCCATGCACTTCTGTTCTTACCAGCCTTTGTTTTGATCCATTTTGCTATTATCTGGTATAACGGACAAGGTTTAGTTTGGGATATGAACCTGAGTCATCACAAAAGGGCTTCAGCTTGAAGCATTGGCCCAGTGATCACTGGTAAAGTTGTAATAGGCTATGAGGTGGACGACTGTTTGGATGGGTTAACGGCTTCAGTCCACCGAAAGCAGGAAAGGACCACAGTTCAACATACATTGGCCTTTTTCAGTTAAAAACAAACCGAGATAATTAAATACTCCTCTTTACATATACACATAGTTGTGCCGCGAAAGCATTTTCACTTACAAACATATAAAAATACTCATTAACTAGTCTGATAAGAAAATAATGTATAAAAGTATATAGTAAAAACATTTAATCATGTCCATTCAAAAGATCACTTCCATCTTTTTTCTTATATTACATGATGATAAAACACAAAAACTGAAATAGTTTATTTGTATCCCTCACACAGAAATGCACGCTGGAAAAAAAGGACGTCGGAAATGAAACATGACATGATGCAATAGTGATATGAGCCCTTGGAGTATGAAGCCAGGAAGCAAATTATCACCTGTCAGATGAGAAATACCAGATTTAAGTGTGAATGTCACAGAGACGTCAAACCATATTAAAAAAAAAAAAAACGCTCGAGGGAATGTGGATGTCTGGAGTATGAATTCTGTCTTTTGTATAATCTAAAAAAACTTGATTTTATCATGTATATCATGAAAAGATGCTTAAAAGATGCCTGTGATGTCAGCAGTTCAATTGTCCCCTTGAAACGGAGTCCTCACACTGTTTCAGTCACTTAAATACACTTCCTAACCAATAAAAAAGAAAATCAGCGTAAAAGTTAATTGAAATACAAGGCCAGAAAAAGACACAATTATTTCCGAGACTAATTCTCTGTGTCATCGATCTCGGTGGGGTACCTAGTAGAGAACAGACATCCTATTGTGCACTACTGAACGAACTTTGTGAAAACACTGTAAATGGAGCAACCTGAGTCTGAAGAAAGTCTGTAGAAATCTGAGCTGAGAGTCAAGAAGGCTTGAACAATCCGGCTACGTGTAGAATACATTTCACAATCACAGAATGTAAAGGGAAAGTTCAACCAAAGATGAACATTCTCTTGTACTTCCAAACCTGCATGACTTACTTTCTTCTGTGAAACTTTCTTCTTTTTCACAGAAGAAAGAACTTTCTTCTTTCTTCTGTGAAAAAAGGAAATATGTTGAAATGTGTTAAAGTTTTGTCCAAATAATGAAAAGCAATGCGGCCTAACACAATCGATTTTCATTTCGACATATGAGCAGCAAAGGACAAAAAAGAAGAAAGAAAATAAGAATTAAGTATGACTATATAATAACAACAATAATTATAAGAATGATTATAATATTATTTTTCATTAATTAAATATTATTTTTTTATTAATTATTAAAATGATAAACAATACAATTAATAAAGACATATATTACCTATATAAAACTTAAAAAGTATTTAATAACTTTAATAGATTTAATTTTACAGAACAACAGTAAAATTAACAATATTTATGGTTGTCTTCATTTCTTTGTTTAGTTAATTTTGCAGAAAACCACAAGAAGACTTTTCTTCTTTTTTTTTTTTACAAACTCAGAAATTGTTTCTCCTGCATTCATGCAATTCAGGTCAGAAAATATGGAACTCCATATAAACATGAAAAAAAACAAAACATCCCTGTTCATTGTATGGACAAAAAAAAAAAAAGTGTTCCGCAGACAAAAAGTGTTGGTTTGGAATAGGTTTGAAACATTTTTAGGTGAACTATCCCTTTAAAAGAATCAAATCCATACACGCCAAGAAGCCTTACAATACAAACAAAAAAGACATCTTGAAGTTGGGAAACTGACTTCACTGCTGACAAAATTGGCATAATGTTAGAGGCTATCTATGTACATATCTGCGAGTACATTATTGTTTTAATGCATGTCAAAACAAGCTTGTCAACCTCACACACGGTACTCTGCGACTGAGTTTTGTCATCATAAAGGTGGTCTCAACTCACATGAATCTTCACTTATGTACAATCGCTGCTTAGCATATGGAAGTAAAAACAGATATGGCACGACACACACACACACACACACACAC